TCTATTCATACTTATTTCTCTATATTTATTTTGTCATTGTGCGTCAGGGCCCAGCAGGGTCCAGGGTGAAGCAAAGTAGTCATCTACAGCACAGGAGGTGCTGAGAGTGAGATCCTCTTCACAAGCCTCTGGGTTCCTGCCTCACCCTAGACCTGACCTTGCTGTGCCCTATGTGAACCTTCAGTTTATCCATTCTCTACAATGTTTCTTACTTTCTCCTACTGTATTTCTTAATTGTTTTTGTGACCTGTGAATGCCCTTTCTATAGCAATTTTGTCTTTATGTTTTCTCCGTCTTATGCACTCTCATCATTACTGAAGTTCTACTCTTGTGACTGTATCCACCACACTGAGTCCCTCCACCTGCCTGTTCCCCTCCACACTCATCCATGGCAGACATTCAGTCTTACCTGCTGGCTCATTCTGCTGGGCATATTGTTCATTTGCTTGTTGGCTTTCTAGGGCATCGTTGTTGCCAGTGGTTGTATCAACAATCACACTTATCTCTTCTTCAAACATGTCATTTGAGAGTCCATTATCAGATGTGGCTGTACCTAGACCACATTTTGATTCATAGATATTTAATTTGTTTCCTCCATCAATCAGGGTCCAGCAGGAAAATACAATAAGAAGCTGTCTAAACTTTTAGAGCAGAGGGAATTTAGTCCAGATGATTAGTTATACAGCTGATGGAAGAGCCAAGAAGCCCAAATGGAAGAATGTGGCAGCTTTCAAATGGTCAAGAGCAAGGTATGTGAAGGACTAAGGGTGAGGTCTGTACCAAGGGCATATCCCAAGGTCACTGGGTGGGGACAAGCTGGACTATGGCTGGCCTGCTTGGTGGGAAGTGGTGTCATGGGGAAGATGCAGCTACTGCCAGAGTTGAGGCCTGAGAAAGTGACAGCAATATATACCCGGCTTCTCCCTTGCTCCCATCCTCTAATGTCTTGCTACTGTCTACCAGGTCAGGAACTCAGCTGGACGCAGTACAATGGAGCTGGCAAGCAAGTCTGCAGGGTCTGTGGCCAGGGTTAGAGGGCAGAGCAGAGCAGGAAAAGATAAGGAATGAATCTGAGTAAACCTCCCAGGACCTGCACACCCCCTTCCCCACAGTGAACCTCCTCTGTGCATTATTGACTCCATTGACCCATCCCACTCTCTTCCCACCAACCCCAATTGTGTATGAATGGATAAACATTACTTTCATTGCAGCTTGGTTTTTTCTCATTTAGAACTATTTTTCTAAGCTAACTAATTTATAAAAAATATTATTTACTAAATTAATTCTCACAATTTTAACATAGAACTTGGGCCCTGGTGCATTCTAATGCAATATCCATAGTTCTTTGGAGCCCCCTCTGGAAGGAGGGGCACAAGACACAGCCCTTCCGGCCCCTGTGCTTGTCACAGTCAACCTTCCTAGATGAGTCAGACTCTTGGACACATTTATTGGTGGTTTGTTTGCAATATTTGGGTCATTACTCCCTCCCCACCACACCCCCTACACACACACACACACACACACACACACAGTGAAACCCTTTTCTGCCCATTACTCACCACTGTTCCTTCCTCTCGCCCTCCTCTTCCCACCAGCTCACTGGTAGATAAAGTACTAAACTATGGATTGATGCATGTTGGATGTTTTATACTCTAAACATTTACTTTCTGAGTAAACATGACTTGTGAAAAGTATAAAGGTGCTCTCAAAAATCATTCTGAAAATTTTTTTAATAAAAATGTCTTATTAATTTAAAACATCCTTTCTGAATAACACATCCCAGTGGAGGCTACATAATATGCCTTCCAGGGTGTTTTAGAGCAGCTCCAGGCCTGCAGCCCTGGAGTTGAAGGGAGAGGGTTTGCACAGATTCACATGGTGTCCATGGTCCTGTGTAAGGGACCCAACACATGAGAGATCCTGGCCCAGGAGGAACACTCATTATCCCTACCCCCCTCTTCTCACTGCAGTGCTGGCCACTGCTGGGTGTGACATCAAAGCAAGGCTGCAGCCAGTGTTAAGCGAGACAGAGGCAGAAGGCTTGTGAAACCAGGTGCACAAGCAATAGGTCCAGGCCAAGGATGGCAGGAGCTGGCAGCACATGCAGGAGGTAGGGAAGAGCCAGCCCTCCCAAAAACCAGGAAAAGGAAGACTGTTATCTAAATCTTTGGGGAAAATGCAGATGCAAAGAATGACTATTCTGGACAATCAGCACTAAAAAGAATCAGCCCTACCCTTCACCCCCATAGCACATGCCAGAATAAGACAAGAAAAACAATGATCATAAAACAGTTACTAGAAACACACCAGCATTATTCAGGGGATGTGGGCCACTCCAAGGCAAGTTTGAGTTACTGTCAGTTCCTGGGGGAAGAAAGTAGAAATTTATTCCAGAAATTGAAGTGTGAGCTGTGCTGTTTTCCTCTAGTCCCATGTAAACCTTTACAAGGTAAGACTTGATGATCCCCTCCCCAGGTATTAATACAGGTCTCATCTGGACCTCGGGGTTCCCCTGTGACTCTAGCCATCCACTACACTGCTGGCCTCAGCCAGGCCATCTTACTGAGATTGCTCACAAGTCACTCAGTAACTGCAGATGGCTTCTCATGTCACCCAAAGTCACCATGAACTTTTAGAGCTGACTTTGACTGGTGCCCTTACTTTCTACAAAATCTTGTTCTCTCTTCCCCACTTCCCTTCACACCACACCATGACTCTGCATGCCTGTTTTTCTGTAACTGTTGGACGTTTCATGAGATTCCGTGTCGGATTTCCTGCACTTCCTCCAGCTCTTGGTATTCTTCTTTCTGTGTTTCTTTCTACTTATGTTTCCTGTTTTTAACTCAGGCTTCTGTCTTTTCCATGAGACTATCTGGTGTGTACAGGGTTAGGAACACAGGCTCTAGGTTCAGAATATCTAGGTTTATCTTGCCTATTTGACCCCCAAGCCAAATGCATACACAGTCTCTCTAGATTTCAGTCCTTTTCAGAAATGCGCAGATAGTGAGACTGCTCCCCAAGGGCAGGTGTGAGCACTAAGCCCACGACTGCATGAGTAAATGCTCAATAAGTGAGCTCTTAAAAATAAGGTTGTTTTATTGTGTCCTTTACCTCCTTTTCCTGTCTTTCATTTCTCTTCCTTCTCTCTCTCCCTCAAATTATAACCATCTTCTCCTCCACATCTTACCACTTCCCCTCTTCTTTCCTCATATGCCTGCCTATGTCCTTGAACATTCCTGCTCTTGAACGGCATCCCCCTATATTTAAATCAGTCCCATTTTCTGTCTTCACCAAGGATCTCCTATGTGGTGTTGACCTTGTGCCCACAGTTCCTAGTCCTCCACAGCTTCACACTGATCTTCTCTTACAGGATTTTTCTAAATCACAATTACTACCAGGTCAGTATTCTTGTTAAATCTGGTTTCCTGACACTCTGGGTTCCTGTCTTGATTATTGGGCTCATGGTCTCCTGTCACAGCTACTTCTACAAGACTGACCTCTGGGCCGATGCTCGCACATATACCCACCGCTGTCTTCTCCAGGTTCCCTCTATGGTTCTCCCCAGATTCCCAAACCTTACTCTGGCCTCAGAGCCCACCTCCCTTTCTCCTTTCCTCTAAGCAGATGAGAATCGGTTTTTATCTGGTTGCAATCACCTTGTTCAAGGTTTAGTTGAATACCAGATCTCCCTCATTTTCTTCCTCATCATTTTCCAGGTAATTGCTTATGTTTGATATCTCTGAGAGAAGGCAAGAGAAGAAGACAGTTAGAGATCTCCATCCAGAATAGTGACATCACCTCAAATTGCATGTTTCAGAATTTCCACGTGTGTTGTGGAGAATGTGATAATAAAACCTTTTCCCCTTCTTTAAAAGCAAGTTTGACTTCTGAGTTAATGTTCTTGCTCATTACTCTGGAAACCTGATGAAGGTGGCCTCCCCCTCTGTGTTACTAAGCCAACACTGGGTTTAGGGGTAAAAAACGAGCAGTGACAGTATGTAGGAGATTGCCTGTGACCTGGGAGGGACTAGGTATGAACTCTAAGCCATATTTGGTCTTCCTCCAATGTCATGACTCTTGTAAGTTAGCTCTTTCCTTTGGGGTTGCGGTAAGTTATGATTGTAGAGTTGTTACATGAGACACCGACTCCCATGGACATGGTGTGGCTAGGACATGGTGGATCCCACACTCATACCTAAGCTGTCACTCGAGGCAGGTAGTACGCCACTTGATGGACTGCTGTGTGGACCACTACAAAGGGTCTCACAGAAGAGCAGTGACTGACACCACCCTATAGGGATGTTATTTTTCTTGTCATTTGTTCTTCCAAGTAAATCTGATGCCACTGTGTCTCTGCATGTCCTGTGAGTCTAAATGCCTAGTTAAACAGACCACCTGGTGGGTGTTTAACTGTGTCCATTATGTTATAAGCTTTGAGAGGCTCATGCTATGTCTGCTTCTTAACTGCTGTAGCTCCACCGCCTAGCACAGTGTTTGGCACATGGTAGGAACTCAGTATATACTTGTGGAAAAAAAATTGGCCATGGACATCAAAAAGTTAGTAATAAACCTAATTACCTCTTTTGAAGATTGTGTAACTGCGACGTAAATCAGGATAGTTCTTCATGATGGTATTGCTGAACAAATCACGCAGAAGGGGAAAGTCAAATGTCTCCTGCAGTTCAGTAAGAATATCATATACAGCTGCTGTTGCAGAAATTCGCATAAGCTTTGCTTGATACTCCTTAAAAAATAGAGAATGCGGAAAATATAAATACAGAACAGCCGCCAGATAGTGATTTTATTGTTAATGTATGACAATTTCCCTAGATAGTATCTTCTGATGTAAAAGTTTAGAATTTGTATATGTTTGTATGACTACTAAGTGGAACAACTAAATCTGTCTCCCTAGAAAACATCTGTTTGTGAATTTAATCTCCTTATCCTCATTTATAGTAGATAGAAGGAGGAACAATTTTGTAGAACAAAAATAGGTTCATGTTAAGTGATGTGTATCCCTTGCAGAGCCCAGCCAAATATTTTAGGAATCGATTTAGCAGGTGATGTGCCGCTGTTCCTTTGACTGGAAAACACTTGTCCCTTCCCCAGGACAGACTCAGCCTAGAAGGGCTCAAGCAAGCCAGCTGATGATCTTTTCCTTCCTGTGAACTTTGCCATAAAGTAAGCATATTCATAGGGAAAGACAAAACTTGTACTCTGCATTTATGCTTAAGTTTTTTGCTAAAATTAGCAGAATTCTGATACTCCAGAAATACCAACAGAAAAGGAAAAATAGGGAAAAAAATGTCACCAGACATTTATTCTCTGGGGATTTTAATGTTCTCAATCTAAATATTTAAATTGATATTTATTGAAATGAAATGTTGTGACAATTATTATTTCATTAAATGAAATCATTAAGCTTATTCCTCCATTCATTAAAATTACTGTTTTTCCTAATTTGTGCTATATTATATACATAAATCCTACAAGGCATTATTCATGTGTGGATCCAACCTGTCTCCAGGGCTATTCACCAAACTCTGGGGGCACCACAGGGCACTATTCCCTTCAGTTAGGAGCAGGACTGTTTCCAGTAATGCCTGTTTCTCTTCTCCCCTTCTTAACTCTAGGAACACTTACAGCACTACATGAGAAGGTCCCCACTCACAGGAGACTCCTCAGTTGTCTGATTGTTCTCTGACATTTGACTTCAAATATATCAGAACAAAACAAAGTTTAGCGCTGTGTGCCAGATTGTGACAAAGTAAAACCTCACTTACGTTATATTTTTCATTAGTGATAAATTCATGGTCCCGGAGCATTTCAAAGAAAGGAAATGGTCTTTCTATTGCAGTTGAAATTTCCACCTTATGCCTTTTGAAGAGCTTGCCTGCAGTCTCCTTGACACTGTTATATATGTCCTGGTCCTCTGCAGACATTCTGGAGAGAAAGGATACCATGACAAAATGGTAGAGCAATCTTTGGCGTAGGTCCCCACTTTTCACAACTTTGAATATTTCTTGGCAATCCCTTCTAGCCTCAAAAGGTTTTTTTTGAGAAATCAGCTGAGAGTTTTATTAGTTACATCCCCTGGACCTAATTCAGGTGTACATTTCTGCAACACATCATCCGTACATGGTATTGTGTGTTAACGACCCTAGTCAAGCCTCTGTCCATCACCATTCATCCCCCCCCCCATAACCCACCCCCCTTCCCCTGGCATGAGTTCTTCCTCTTTTTTTTCTTTTTTGCTCAATCCCTCCACCCTCCACCCAGCCACATACACCCAACAGCTGTCAACCTGTCCTTTATCTTTTTTGCTTGTTAGTTCATAAAGTATGACTTATGATGCCAAAGAAAATGGACCTGAACAGGCAACTTAGGGAAAAACTAAAATGTCCAATAAACATAAGTATTCATACAAGATAAACATCCCTTTTTGCCTACTAAATTGGCAAACACAACTTCATAAGTGACAAAGCAGCGATGGAGAAGATTCAGAGAAGCAGACGTTCATTGCTGGTATGAGCAGAAATTGCTAAAGACTTTACTGAAAACATATTGCAATAAATTCAAAGATAGAGTCCATATTGGTCCAGTAGTCACCCCACTTTGGGAACCTAGCCTATGGAAATAAAAAACACCAGTTTGCAACTTACAGAAACTAGAGTTCCAGAACTTTCAGTGGTACCTTATTTCCCCCTCAGAAGAAAGACAAGTTCTTACAGTACTCAAGGGGCCCGAAATAGTCCAGCTCTTCTCCCCTGTCCCCTAGCTCACTTCCTCTGGCCAAACCTGCCTCTCTGCTGTTCCTTGACTACACCAGGCACACGTGAGCCCTAGAAACTTAGTGCTGTCTCCCCTGCATAGAGTGTTCTTTGTTCAGATACCCATTTAGTGAACTAACTGCCTCATCTCCTTAAGGTCCTTGTTCCATGTCACCTTCTCAATGGGACCTGCTTTGACCAATTTATTTGAAATAAAAACTTCAGCTCCTTCACCCTGACCTTATAGTCCCAATTCCTAATTTAGCTCCTTCCGTTTTCTTTTTTTCTCTACCATGTCTTAGCCTTCCCTAACATATTAAATTAATTACTTCTGTATTTTATTTAAAATTTATTTTCTTACTGTCACTCTTCCTCCTAAGTATACATATGCCATTAAGACAGAGATTTTCATTTGTTTTGTCCATTGATTTTCTTGAGTACTAGACACATATATCACAAGTAAATATTTTTTATCAGATACCTGTAGGTACAAAAGCATTTATTGAAGCATTGTTTCAATAGCAAAAACCAACAATAAAAACTTAATATGACCACCAAACCTGAAAACAATATGATTTTCCTTCAGATAAATGGTTTAATATATTATAATAAATACATACTAGTGGAGTATTACATACCTATTTCCTTTTAGTAATTTGGATGGGATATCATGGGGTTTTTTTTTACAAAATTGATTACAAGAGTAAACATTTATTTTGAATAATAAGTTACAACAACTTATAAATTCTTAAAAATCAGGCAAATACTATAACCATAACATCTGAAAGTAACATAGATTTGTACAAGTTAGCTGCCTGAAACAACTCTCAAATAGTTCACCCTTACCTTTTTTACTTCTTTTTTTAAATTTTATTGTTGTTCAAGTACAGTTGTCTGTGTTTTTCCCCCCATCCCTCTCTCCCCACACCAGGCAGCCCTACCTCCCTCCCCCTGATTCCACCCACCCTTGGTTTTCTCCATGTGTTCCTCACCTTCAGGAATAACTGTTCCTGAAATCTCATCCCCTCCCCTCCCATCATCCTCTTTCACCTCCCCTCTGGTTATAGTCAGATTGTTCTTGATTTTAATGTCTCTGGTTATATTTTGCTTGCTTGTTCATTTTGTGGATTAGATTCCACTTAAAAGTGAGATCAAGGAGAAGATCATAGTTTTATAGATGAACAAAAATATCAAGTTCAGATTAATATATTATGGCCTCATTTTTTATATAAATCAAAGTACTAAAATCTTATGGGTAAACTTTGAAACAAATGTTAGAAAATGTGTGGAATGTCACATTCAAGGCTGTTAACACTGGCTTAGTGACAAGTGTCAGGTTCCACCCAGGACCCTTCAAAACCTTCTTTCAACTTTTTTTTGGCAACATCAGCAGAAATAGAAATAATAGGTCCAACATAACAAGACTTTAAGCATATTTAACACCTCACAGCTTATAAAATAATATTGTTTTTTATAAAAGAACCAGGAAACATAAAATTTTAAGAATTGGGTTCTCAAATTGAAAATAAAGTAAGGCAAAGAATTAAATTCTTAGAAAGAATCAAACAAATGGAATGCAAGACTTGCACAGAAAAGTATAAAACATTGTACAGAAAAATTAAACGTCTAAATAAATAGAGACATTAAATATTTTAGATTGGAAAACTCAATATTCTTTTTTAAATTTGTATTTATTGACTTTGGGGGGGGCAAGGGGAAGAGAAAGAGAGGGAGCAAAGCATCCATGTGTGGTTGCCTCCTGATTGGCCCCTACTGGGGATCTGGTCTGCAACCCAGGCATGTGCCCTGACTAGGAACTGAACTGGTGATTCCTTGGTTCACAGGCCCAAGCTCAATCCACTGAGATACACCAACCAGGGCCCCCACAGGTTTCTTCAGTCAGAGACTTCCATATACAGA